TCATAATCCAGACTGGCTTGAGATGTTATTTGAAAAATAACTAAATCAAAAGTCATGGCTCAAGGGGTAGACCATCTGCCTAGCAAAAGGGATGAGGCCCTTTGAGCTCAAATCCCAGTTCTGCCAAAACCATAAATAAATAAAAGAAAATAATTCATGTCAAGTGAAAGTTATCAGGAATATGGGTTTCAGCGTCCACAAAGTTTTCTTGGAATTTTTGGAATTACTGGAACCCTACAGGGTCATTTACCTCTGGTGTAATGGCTCTGTTCAGAGGTAAATGCAGAGTTCTGTAACTTTGACAAGGTTGCACACGGTTCGCAAACACCAAAATACTGATGATCTGGCTCTGTCCAGAAAAGTTTGAGGAACTCTACGTAACAGCCTTGGTTAGGATGTTGGCACAGGAATGGAGCCAAAGTCCCCAAACAACTTCTCTGAGGAAAACATCACATGGACCCATTGAGTGGACAGTCAAGCCAGTATGAGAACTAACTATAGGAACTCTGAAACATAGGTCACAGTTCTATTTATTTTGGTGACCATATACAAATTGGTATTTCTGCCAGAGAGAAAGATAAAACTAAGAAAAACCATGAGCACATTTACTTTTTTTTTTTTAAAACCCAACCAATGTCCCTAGCTGCCACTCTCATGTCCCTGCTCTGATGAACAGGTAGCCCCATGATGCTAACAAACTGTCCTCATGGTGACTTCAAGGCTGCTCAGTCTTCATCACCTATGTGCCAACACATGTTCCAGGAAGGAGTGGTCATCAGGAAACTTCCAGAGAGGCAGAGACACCACTATGCTATTGTAGTCAAGGTCACAGTTTGGCTCTTCTTGCTCTCATAGTGCCTGCTGGGGCTGTCATGTGTTGGACCCCTTCTGATTGGAGCAAAAGTTAGTACCTGCCCCAAGGGCAGCAACCCTCTACATTGAACAAGGGCTCAAAAAGGTGAAATGGAACCATTTCCATCTCTTTCCTGGTAATTTGGACTAAAAAAAAAAAAAAAGCCATTACCCCATGAGTAGTTGAAGCAGAAGACAGGGGACCAAGGCAGGCTGCGGCCTACTGAAATGGAGGCAGAAGGGGCAGATGTTTGAGGGAGCAGAAAAAGTATCAGAACAGAGACAGGCTAAGTTGTGAAAATAACAAAATCTTGGACTGATTATCAATCATTTCCTGATCAGACCTCCTTTGAGCTGTCTTGAACTCAAAACTACCCACCAATTCCTTATCACAGAGCCCAACCTGTAACTATTATGATTCACTATGGTAGCAACTGTCAACACAAACTTAGCATTTACTCTGGTCCAGTAGTGCTCACTCTCTTCATGTGAACTCATGAATCCAGATAATAATCCTATGCAGCAAATAAGATCCTTATGTATAGATGAGGAAACTGAGGCACAGAACGGTTCAATAATTTGTCCAAGGTTACACAACTGGTGAGGAGCAGCTTTAGTCGCAGTTGACCTGGTTGTAGGGACTGTGCATGTAAGCATTACACACAGTACTGCTCCTATTCCTAGATTACCAAGTAACTCCATATGTTTCTGTCCACAAAATTTCCTCATTTCCTTCTTCAAGTTTATTCAAAGTAGAGCTTTGCAACTGTGCCTGACTACGATGGAAACTGGTATCAGGACTGATACTATAAGGAATAAACTCTTAGAGAAAGTGTCTGGGAGAATTGGTCTTGGTGTACAGCAGAGTAGAAGACTCTAGAAATTGCAGAGTAGAAGACTCTAGAAATTGCCTCACATCCTAAAAGCAAATGCAAATAAACTCTTGCAAATGCAAGAGTGAAAGAGCTAGCTAAACTATGACCTACAGGGTTTTTTGGTGTTTTTTTTTTTTTTTGAGACTCAGACTACATACCAAGAATGGTAAGGCTTTAGAAATCTTTGTAGGTACCTCCTTTGAGCAATTCAGAGGGAACAGGGGTAATGGAACGAGTGGGTTACTTTTTATGGCACTTTATGATAAAATACAATGGAAAACTGCAACAAGTACCCATTCCAGGTGTCTCAAAATACAAGGAAAATTGTTTTATGCTACTTGAGCATGAATTCGAATCACTTTGAGGCCTTGCTATACACAGATTTCAGTGCCGCCTGCACCTTCAGAGTTTCTGATTTAGGAAGTCTGATGTGAGGCCCAAGAATTTACATTTTTAGCAAGTTCCTCAGCAATGTTAACGGTGCTGGTCCAGACACCACACTTAAGAACCACTGTCCTACAGCATAAAGGCCTTTCCTCTCGTATTTGAAAGACAAGATGGTACACATTACTAAATTAACCATAGAAATTCCAATCCTACCATTCTGGCTATATATGGTCCAAGTTAACTCCTAGACTGGCAACACCAGAAGCCTAGCTATTCCAGTGAACAGAAATATCTGGGAAGAGCCATATAACCTAGGGCTAGGGGAGAAAGGGATCCTGGAACATCAGATGTTAAGGAAGAAAAAAATAAAAGAAGGATTAAGGGTATATAAGGTGAGTAGGCTCAGGAAAGGGTTGCTGCTAAGTACAGAAAACATTATTTCTAACATGATTCTCCAAAGTCCTTTATTTTTACATTCAACAGGTATTTCTTCAGCCCCAACTACTAGATACTATTCTAAGTATTGGAGGTTCAACAGAGAACATCCTATTAGGTCATTTGTAGGCCTAAGGGCAAAAAACACCTACACTGTCAGAACTTCACCAGAACTTCACATGGTCACAAGTGCAACCCTAGGAACTCTGTTCACAGCCAAGTTTTCTCTCAGCATGTCACATGTCCACAAACAGCTGGTCCTAGCATAGCAGTTTCAGGGGCTTAGCTTACTTCATGCAGGAGAAGATGGACTCCAGAACTCGATGTCTGTGCAGACATACTGTTCATGGTGGTGATTAAAAGCTCAGGTCATAGAATTGGACCACCCCTGTTCTCAATCCTTGGCTATTTACCAGCTAGGAACCCTAACCGAAGCTCTTTGGGTTTCAATTTTTCTCATCTACAATCATCATAATAACTGCAGTCCTTGCCTCATAGGATGAATGAGATCAACAGAAAAGAAGGCAGGTAAATTGCTTTGCACAAACTCTGACCATAATAACTACTCAGTAGATAGTAACTGTGATTGCTTTTTCCCTCTTTCTAAGTGGGTACTGTCATCACACTTGTCCCTTCTGAATCTACCCTTGCATGTCAGACATGTGTGTGAAGGCAAAATCCATCATCTACTCTACCTACAGATGCCAAAATGGCTTGACGAAATCATAACAGAAACTAGAAGACGATTAAACACCGCAGGAAGACTGCATTTTTAGGTCAGCAGGTCACATTGCCAAGTGGAACCAGATACCATTTCCACACACACTTGCTCCATGCGCCTTGAGCTGCTGTTGGTGGAAAGCATGTGAGCGTTTCCTGGTTGTCTGAGGG